GATTTCTACTTTTCGTAATAACCATTTACGTAGTGATACGAAGTTCTACATGGTTATCATGCTTCTCAATTTTTCGTGCCCGTGCAGTACAGTGTTGGTACCCGTGCAGTGCAGTGCCCAACACGTAAGATAGTAAAATGATTATTATTGTAAAAATAGGAATTCAAAACTCTATTTTATTAGTAATAATCGATTACTTTTACGTAGTTTCCTCTCTACACTGCTTATGAATCTGCTGTATTTTTTATTTTCCAAGATATTTTTTTGTGATTATACAAAGTTCCACATGGTTACACTGCTTCTCTTTTTTGGTGTATATTACTGCAGGCGTTTAATAATAACAATGCATACTTTTAAATTTTTATATGGAGTAAAAAGGCTGAACAATTTCGGGTGCAAAAATATTTTTCAATTAGGCGGGAAATAAAAAACAAAAAATCATTTGCATACATTTTATTTTACATGTTTATTAAAAAATATTTACATACATTAATAAATCAATACTTTATTTTCTTAAATCCAAATGGTACAGAGGTATGATCTTCATAGAATTTCCTTTTCATTGAAGTTATCTTGTATACCTTAGGAAACTCGACTGTTACTACTGCATGCTCTCTTGTACGTCGTAGCTGTCGAGAAAGTACAGAAACAGGATCAGATTTCTTCAGCACCATGTCTTTTATTTTCTCAAAATTGACTACTTGGGATGCCTTGTAGTTGAGTGATATGCCTTTTACTTTACATACGATCTGTTCCTCTCCAGACAAAGTAGTATATTTGTAGGCGTAGTTCTTAGGTCCTCCAGAAACAAACTCTGATATGAAACCCCCATTGAGCTCATCGGTCATATCACCTATGAAGTCGCCTGTAGATATGTCGTCTAATCCCTTACGAGAGATATAAATACATGAATCTGTATCTACGTAAACTGCCCTTTCTTCCACTTTCTCCAAGAATGAATATAATTTTAGTCTAGCTAGGGCCGTGACATATGAAGCCAATACAACGTTAACCGTTGAAGAAACGTCATAGGCCTCTTCTCTAAATTCCCAAGTTATGAGAAGGGTTTCTTCGTTTACCGGGAGAACTGTATTTACATGAATAGAAGGATTAGTCAGCATATCAAAGAATTCACCACAGTCTCTGACTATTGAGGTTTTGTTTTGGTTTTCTTTTTGAGCAAATTTACCCCAAAAGGAATTCAGCATAAGTTTAGCTAACGATCTCAAACAGGGGTTCTCTATAATTTTTGAAAATTCCAGCTTTATGTCTTCTCTATCCAAAAATGCATCAATATAACGGTTTTTTTCTTCATCCGTTAAGCAATGTTTGGGCCATCCTGAAGCTTGTTGTTTTATTTGTAGAAACTTGTTCATCATTCCGCTAAATAACCCCTCTTGGTCTTTACTGAGCTGAATTGTATCGTATTCCCATATTTCGTAAGTCTCTATTCTGGTAACCTTTTTCAATAGCTTTGAGCACCTCTTCTATCACCCAAGTTCCTTTTAGGCTTCTTTCTTGAATAGAATGCTGACACTCTTCTCGAACGAAATCTTCACCACATTTTTGACAGTTAACAAACATCAATTTGTTGTTCATTTTTGACGGTAAAACGGGGTGTATAAGTTCTGGTTCGGTAGAATCTGGCATTTAATAAGTCCTGACATCTGCGACAGAGAGGCTGTAACACATTCTTCACCTACGTAAATTTTTTTTGGATGACCCACCGGAAATTTTCCATATTTACAGATGAAGGGGTACAGGGAACATATATCGACATATTTTATGCATTCATTTGTTTTGATCTTGTAGTATTCAACGATATTTTCTGTACGTCCCCCGTAGAGAGCGTCTCTGGGGTTAATCGGTAAATTGATTATCAATGGATGTGCTTCTGTGAAGGCTCTAATTTCATCGTTTAGCATTCCTCGAAATTGACATTCCCATATCTCAATTACTTCTAGTCCAAGGCTTCGGAGTCTCTCTACTTTGCTAACTGATTGTTCGTATCGACTTTCCAATGTATTCAACGGATCATTATGCAGAGGATTGCTTCTGTTGTATTTGAAACATCGAGGGCAACCGTGAAAATAGCATCCTTGGAATTCAAACACTTGATTTGTGTCGCTACAAAAACCGTCTACTTTATGTCCCTTAACAATGGTTTCTATACCCTTAGCGGCGTGTTGAATTTTGATTCCTCTTTGATGTTCCTCCCACAACAGCCATTGGATGGCAATTTTTGACTGATTTTCACGCCATCTATAGCCCCCTTTTGGAATTACCCCGATCGTCTCAGGTTTTAAAAAATTGCGTCTAAAGACTTTGTTACAGCATGATGCAATAGTGGTGCTTTCCTGGAAGGGATCGACTGTGGTTTCGGTTTTCATCAGGTCTCGAAATTTGAGACACGCCTGTGTCAATATTTCCACATCGGAGATACAGTATTCAACGATTTCTTTCTGAAAATCAAAAACGTATCCCTCCGCTTGTCTTTCGCCATGCCATTTTAATAATTTTTCCCGAGCGTCTTCCTTTAAATGGTCGGGATCGTAGAAGTCGAGCGCTGGAATTGGCCCTACATAATTCTGATGAGCCAAAGTGTTGAATAAATGTGGAAAGTATCCTTTCTTTAGCTCTTTCAAATCAAACGCCTTGGGTAGAGCAGTTAGAGGCATAGGAAAATAATTGAGAGAATCCAGAAATTTTACATTTCCTACCTCCATCAATATTAATTTTGTTCCTCTCATAATTACATTCGGGTACAGACTAGTCTTCTCTAAAATGTAACGAAGTAGAAACTGATGATCAAATCCTCCACCATTATGCGCCAGTACAATGACTTTCTTGAATTTTTTACGAAGTGTCAGAATATGATGCATAAATGGAGAAATGACGTCTTGACATCGAAGAATCTGTAATCGAAGGCCACATTTCTTGCATATAGGATTATCGGTACATGATTCACAACATTGTTTGAATACACATAGATTTGGCTCATGTAAAGATCCATTGGGTAATTCCTTCTCCTGACGGGTTTCCAAATCGTAAAATATTAATAAGACATCATTTGATTTAGGAATACTTCTGTCAGGCTGTATATAGCACATATGTTCAATTGGTTGATTTTTATAACATGTTTTACAAAGTATATATCCGCAGATGTGATCATTACCGTTGTGAACTTTAAAACAGTCTACACATCTTTTAATTTTAGAACAGACCGATGGTAAATGAGCGTTAAAACATTCTTGTCCATAAAAGCTTCTATTACATTCTTTGCATTTGATGTGCTTCGTTTTCAGGCAGGCCGGAGATCTTTTACAAGCATAACATTGTTTATCACATCTATGAATTTGTTTAGTTATACGGAATGTGGCAGTTCTCACAAAAAAGCTGCAGCAAAAGGCAGCAGTGAGGGATGTTATGACGCTGTAGTGCCCCTCGTGATATATTAGGTTAAGCGTCGGACCAGCGGACACGCCTTCAAAAATGACGTCACGACCTTTGCACCCAAACTTGTATACAACAATTTTGTAGTTTTGCAGATATCGTTGTAGCTTTTGAAGTTCAGGTATTCCACACCCCTCCTCAGGGATAACAATATCAGCCTTTTCCACAAGTTGTACAGCTCTTTGTCCTTGTATTTTTCCTCGATCACGGCGGATTCTGCTATAATCTTTGTCTTTGTTCAAATGGGCCATGGCGATGACAAGGGCTCGTGGGAGACACAAATTATCGGTGTTTTTAACGGTGATAATGCCTTTTCTTTTGGCGCATTCCTCATCAAAGGTATTGAAATTCTGAGCTCTACCACGACCAGCAGGCAACCTTACGGACGTAATACCCAAGCAAAAAGTCTCGGTATTCAACCCCACAGAATTTGACTGATAGATGGAAGATATCTTCTCCCATATGTCCTCAGTTGAAACGTCGGAAAACAATTTAAAAGCTATCCATCCTTGACCGCGGGTAAAGTCTTTGGAACAGAAAGTGAATCCAACTTGATCACTGGGCTGGAGATGTTCAGTTCCTTTGGCTACTATTTCCTCCAGAGCGTCTTTGATCCATCCCACAGGTTCGACGTCTTTAGGGATAGGTCGTATTTTAAATTCCACTTCTCGCCCATATAGATTAAATTTTTTAATCTTCTTAGTAGAATCCTTAACGATGAAGAATTTTTCCATTTTTTAAAAACTAAAACGTTAACTAGCGACTAAATCTGAACTGAGCACGTCTGTTCGCTGCAGATAACTGACAAGATAATTTGCGGTGATTCATAGGTATTTATAATCTCGATTTTACCCCCACCACTTTTTAACTGACCACAGTGTTTCAAGGTCACCGCTGTTATCGTTGGTCAGTATTAACTCGTTGACAGCCTGCGCTTCCTGCCCATTCACCCATGCTTAACAGCCCCGCCCGGTACTTCTTGCATATCACCGCTACGACAACACCTGCCCTGAACCTAACCTCATTTGCGACGTAGGTGATTGCCTTGTTGAATTTATTAGATACACAATATAGACTGTACTATGTTTTCAATATTGTATCAATGTTAAAAATTAACTAACATTAACTGTATGCACCACATATATGAGCAATTCCATTTTTATATGCACACTGAATATGACGTGTTGATTATTGAGATCATCCTATACGCATTGTTTCCCGCGAATTTTATACGTTTTTCCATTTAAACTGAATCAGCAGAATTGCATCTATAAATATCATTATTCATGGGCTTTTATCGATCTATATGCAAATATTTACCGCAAAACATGAAATGAGTCACATCGCTTACGCATAGACGTTATACTACACCTTACTATCGTCGGCTGTCTGAATCACTTCCGGTCGGGTGCGCCATCTAACGGGGCCCGCCAATCACATATAACACATCAACCCGTTCAAACTTCCCGCCGTCTGATCCACCAATCAGAGCACGCGGTGGATCTAGCGGTTCCCGCCAATCAACATATACCATCAACCCCGTTCAAATTTCCCGCCGTTTGATCCGCCAATCAGAGCACGCGGTGGATGTGGTGGGCGTGGCCAAAAAGTGGAAGTGGTGGGGGGCGCCCAGAGTGCACCAGTATCTACTAACCTGAATGCGTAACTAGCCAAAAGCAAAAAGAGCTGAATGATCTTTTTCTAAGCACCTTAAGCTTCTACCGATTTAGTGACCCCACAAAAAGGCCTAGGCTCCCAAAGCTTCTACTAAATGCAAATCCAATCAAATAATACATCAGAGATTTTTTACGCCACCTAGAACACTGTGATGACTTAGAAGAAGTACATCTATCTATCTATGCGGCAGCTGCTACTGTGGTGAACGTGAATGGTCAAAAGTTACTACCACCTAATGACGCGCCTCTTAAAAAGACATCGAAACGTAGTGAGGAGCCATGGAAACTAAGACTCATGAAAGATATTGACTCATGTAGAGCTGAGGCGGATCTCATTTCAGAATACCAAGGAGGCAATAGGTCCCGAAAGGTGATCAAGAAAATTGCAGATATTAAACGGAAAATTAACGTACCCCCCAGCTGCGATATCGATAGCTCATTTTTAAACCTGCATAGAGATAAAATGAGGCAAGAAGCCAAAATGAAAGGTGCCCGGCTCCAAAGATATAATGAGACCAGCAAGAAAGCAGCAAAATGCTTGTTCGAGAGAAACCAAAACCAGTTCTACAGATCTATCATCCCAGAATCATCTTCGGAACCCAAAGGCATTAGAGATACGCAAAATTTTGTTAAATTTTGGTGATATTTGGTCCGAACCAAAGCCATCAGACCTTAATGCGCCTTGGATCAAAGAGGTAGTGAAGGCAGCTAAGGTAAACCCAATGAGCGTTGCAATATTCTCTCAAGATGACGTAAGTAGAGTGCTAAAAAATGCTGCTGATTGGAAAGCGCCGGGACCCGACAATATTCAGAACTTTTGGCTCAAGAAGTTCCTAAGCACACATGCTGCATTGGGTCGATCACTTTCTAAAGCAATCACCAACCCGGAGATATTACCTAACTTCTTGACGAAAGGAATAACACATATTATATTTAAAAACGGCAATCCTGAAGATCCGAAAAACTCTAGACCAATTACATGTCTCTCTGTGTTTTATAAACTACTAACAGCACTTTTGAATGACCAAATATATACTCACTGTGAAAGCAACAATATCATTGCTACAGAACAGAAGGGGTGTGTCCGTGGTTCTTTCGGATGCAAAGAGCAACTTATAATTGATTCCGTTATTACGAAGCATGCGTGTAAAAATAAGAGAAATCTCCATGTCTGCTACATCGACTACTCTAAGGCGTTGATTCCGTGCCACATAATTGGCTTTTAAAGGTGCTGGATATATATAAAGTAGACATCCGCATCATAAACCTATTGTCCCATCTGATGATGAACTGGGGAACCTCTTTAAGAGTTAATTCGGAGGACATAGGAGACGTGCGCATACGCAGAGGCATATTTCGGGTGATTCTCTCAGCCCGATGTGGTTCTGTCTAGCCCTGAACCCACTGTCATCACTGCTGAATAATTCCAAGTTCGGGTATAGGCTCGATGTGTGTGAGCCTACCAGATTCAACCATCTGCTGTATATGGATGACCTCAAACTATACGCCGAGTCAAGGCAACATCTTGCTTCTCTAGTGCGAACGACAAGTATATTCAGCAATGATATAGGAATGAAATTTGGGTTAGATAAGTGCGCCACTGTCACTATAAGGAAAGGTAACCTAACTCTTTTGGAAGAAAATTTAGAAAACATCGCGCCTCTAGCAAGACCAACCGTATAAGTACCTGGGGATGCACCAAAGTAGGGGTGTGTGTCATTCTACCATGAAGTCAATCTATAGAGAAAGTACATCCGTCGGCTTACAAAACTACTCAACACCAAATTAAACTCGCAGAATCTTTTCAAAGCAATCAACAGTTGGGCAATAAGTTCACTTACATATTCGTTCGGTATTGTGAAATGGAGTAATACAGACCTTGAAGAGCTAGACAGAATCACTCGTATAAAGCTCACAAAGTTCCACTGTCCCACCCAAAGGCATCAACCAAACGGCTGTACCTCCCTCGCGCACAAGGGGCCGCGGATTGCTCAACATAACACAACTCTGCAAGTCTCAGATAGCCAAATTACAAAATTACTTTCATAACCATCTAAGTCCTAAGATAGCTGCTGTAGTGGAGGCAGATGACTCATTTACCCCTTTGAGCTTTCGGCAACCTCAAGCAAATACGGCCTCGGAATCGAATACTAGTAGAGAATGCTGGGAGGAGAAAATTCTCCATGGCCGTTACCCATGCCAACTGAGAGGTGACAACATAGATAAAGCTTTGTCATTCACCTATTTGAGAAAGGGATATCTCCATCCAACAACGGAAGGGTTCATAACTGCCATCCAGGACAAAGTAATAAAAACAAAAAACTATGAAAAACATATTCTCAAATCCAACGTCCCAGATGAATGTAGGAAGTGCAACCAGGCGGGCGAAACCATCGAACATATTACTGGAGCTTGCCCTGCGTTGGCAGCTGGCGATTATTTGGGAAGACACAACCAGGTTGCAAAAATAATCCATTCACAGCTAGCTCGTAAACTTAACTTGGTACAATCTCCTCCGCCATATTACAAGTACACGCCTGAGCCAGTTCTGGAATCAAAAGATGTAATACTCTATTGGGATCGGCCATTTCTAACCG